GCAGGAATGGTCAGAACAGATCCCAAAACCAGTGTTAAAAGTTAAGTGTATCAGGATGTGTCAGATGCAGATAAAATTTCATACGTGTGCTTAAGATTTCAAATCCAATACTGGACTGTGTAATACCTATCAGACGGTGAATGAACTCTAAATATTTGCTACCATGTAAAGTATGACTGATAATATGGTGGAGGATGATTTTCCACAGTTTGGACATGAATCACTCTGTGGCTGACCTAAGCACAATTTCAGTTGTATCCTGGTAGGATCATCCTTCCTTAGAATGAAACTCCCGCTATTCAGAAGCAGACATTCTAGACTCCAGAAGCATCATGCAGAGTTGAGTGGAGTCAAAATGAGTCATATAGGCATTTTTTTCAAAATGAAAATATCTCTTCTTTGTGGCTCAGAATTCTGGGGTCATATGCTAGAACTTTCCAAAGTGCATGGGAAGATTCAAAAAACTATGTTTTTCATTTGTTTTGTTTTGTTTTGAGAAACTGGTCCTGCCCCAAAGCAAACCTGTATCCTATCTCTGGAGAAATAAATTCCCTCACTCAACAAACACATGCATTAAGCCTCTGATATCTTAAAAATGAGGACCTCATCACAAGCAACAATACAAAATATCAGCACTTAAAGCCTCATCAGAGAATTCAGCTCTGGCTTTGTTGTTGACAGAGGCAATTTAAGTATTATTAACTGCACATTCTTAATGTACTTTAAGAGCTGTCCTGGGATTATCAAGAGAAACAGAACATACAGTAGAGGCTCTTAGCTCTGCTTAGAGCTAAGCTCTGCTTAGAGGCTCTGCTTAGCTTGCTCCTTGATTGACCAATAAACCTCATTTTCTTTGAAAAAAACATATGAATTGGTGTCCATAGAATGCTGAATACTTATAACTAGTAGATTACTTTCATCTACTATCACCACTGAGTGATTCCTTACCTAAGGCCAGTTGTAGGGTTTTAGCAAACTTGTGTCTGTTAGATTGGTTTGCAAGTGCTTCAAGTTTTCCCTCCACTCAAAAAAAAAAAAAAAAAAAGATAAGGGAGCTTCAGGATGGTGGAAGAGTAAGACGTGGAGATCACCTTCCTCCCCACAAATACATCAGAAATACATCTACATATGGAACAGCTCCTACAGAACACTTACTGAACGCTGGCAGAAGACCTCAGACCTCCTAAAAGGCAAGAAACTCCCCCACGTACCTGGGTAGGGCAAAAGAAAAAAGAAAAAACAGGGACAAAAGAATAGGGACAGGACCTGCGCCTCGGGGAGGGAGTTATGAAGGAGGAAATGTTCCCACACACTAGGAAGGCCTTTGGCGGGTGGAGACTGCGGGTGTCGGAGGGGGGAAGCTTCGGAGCCGCAGAGGAGAGCGCAGCAACAGGGGTGCGGAGGGCAAAGTGGACAGATTCACGCACAGAGGATCGCTGCCGAACAGCACTCACCAGCCCGAGAGGCTTGTCTGCTCACCCGCCAGGGCGGGCGGGGGCTGGGAGCTGGGCTCAGGCTTTGGAGGTCAGACCCCAGGAAGAGGACTGGAGCTGGCAGAGTGACCACAGCCTAAGGGGGCCTAGTGTGCCACGGATAGCCAGGAGGGAGTCCGGGAAAAAGTCTGGACCTGCCGAAGAGGCAAGAAACCTTTCCTTGCCTCTTTGTTTCCTGGTGCGCGAGGAGAGGGGATTAAGAGCGCTGCTTAAAGGAGCTCCAGAGACAGGCGTGAGATGCGGCTATCAGTGCAAACCCCAGAGACGTGCATGAGAAGCTAACGCTGCTGCTGCAGCCACCAAGAAACCTGTGTGCGAGCACGGGTCACTATCCACACCTCCCCTCCTGGGAGCCTGTGCAACCCACCACTGTCAGGGTCCCGGGATCCAGGGACAACACCCTGGGAGAACGCACGGTACGCCTCAGGCTGCTGCAACGTCACGCTGGCCTCTGCTGCTGCAGGCTTGCCCCGCACTCCGTACCCCTCCCTCCCCCCGGCCTGAGTGACACGGAGCCCCCGCATCAGCTGCTCCTTTAACCCCGTCCTGTCTGAGGGAAGAAGAGATGCACGCCAGCGACCTACAAGCAGAGGAGGATCCAAATACAAAGCTGAACACCGGGAGCTGTGCGAACAAAGAAGAGAAAGGGAAATCTCTCCGAGCAGAATCTGGAGCAGCGGATTAAAGCTCCACAATCAACTTGATGTACCCTGCAACTGTGGAATACCAGAATAGACAACGAATCATCCCAAACTGAGGAGGTGGACTTTGGAAGCAACAATATATATATAACAACCCATTTGTTTTAGGGTTCTGTCTGTCCGTTTTCTTTTTGTTTTTTGGGTTTTTTTCTGTATAGTTTTTAGCGTTTGTTACCATTGGTGGATTTGTTTTTTTGGTTTAGTTGCTCTCTTCTTTCTTTTTTTTTTATTACTTTAATTTTTTTTAATAATTATTTTTACTTTAATAACTTTTTAAAAAAATTTATCTTCTTTCTTTCTTTCACTGTTATCTCCCTTTTAACTAAGCCGTGTGGATGAGAGGCTCTTGGTGCTCCAGCCAAGTGTCAGGGCTGTGCCTCTGATGTGGGAGAATAAAATTCAGGACACTGGTCCACAAGAGACCTCCCATCACCATGTAATATCAAATGCCAAAAATCTCCCAGTGATTTCCATCTCAACGCCAAGGCCCAGCTCCACTCAAAGACCAGCAAGCTCCAGTGCTGGACACCGTATGCCAAACAACTAACAAGACAGAAGCACAATGCCACCCATTAGCAGAGAGGCTGCCTAAAATCATAATAAGGCCAAAGACACCCTAAAACACACCACCAGATGTGGACCTGCCCAAAAGAAAGACAAGATCCAGCCTCATCCACCAGAACACAGGCACTACTCCCCACCACCAGGAAGCCTACACAATCCACTGAACCAACCGAAGCCACTGGGGCCAGACATACATCTACATATGGAACAGCTCCTACAGAACACTTACTGAACGCTGGCAGAAGACCTCAGACCTCCTAAAAGGCAAGAAACTCCCCCACGTACCTGGGTAGGGCAAAAGAAAAAAGAAAAAACAGGGACAAAAGAATAGGGACAGGACCTGCGCCTCGGGGAGGGAGTTATGAAGGAGGAAATGTTCCCACACACTAGGAAGGCCTTTGGCGGGTGGAGACTGCGGGTGTCGGAGGGGGGAAGCTTCGGAGCCGCAGAGGAGAGAGCAGCAACAGGGGTGCGGAGGGCAAAGTGGACAGATTCACGCACAGAGGATCGCTGCCGAACAGCACTCACCAGCCCGAGAGGCTTGTCTGCTCACCCGCCAGGGCGGGCGGGGGCTGGGAGCTGGGCTCAGGCTTTGGAGGTCAGACCCCAGGAAGAGGACTGGAGCTGGCAGAGTGACCACAGCCTAAGGGGGCCTAGTGTGCCACGGATAGCCAGGAGGGAGTCCGGGAAAAAGTCTGGACCTGCCGAAGAGGCAAGAAACCTTTCCTTGCCTCTTTGTTTCCTGGTGCGCGAGGAGAGGGGATTAAGAGCGCTGCTTAAAGGAGCTCCAGAGACAGGCGTGAGATGCGGCTATCAGTGCAAACCCCAGAGACGTGCATGAGAAGCTAACGCTGCTGCTGCAGCCACCAAGAAACCTGTGTGCGAGCACGGGTCACTATCCACACCTCCCCTCCTGGGAGCCTGTGCAACCCACCACTGTCAGGGTCCCGGGATCCAGGGACAACACCCTGGGAGAACGCACGGTACGCCTCAGGCTGCTGCAACGTCACGCTGGCCTCTGCTGCTGCAGGCTTGCCCCGCACTCCGTACCCCTCCCTCCCCCCGGCCTGAGTGACACGGAGCCCCCGCATCAGCTGCTCCTTTAACCCCGTCCTGTCTGAGGGAAGAAGAGATGCACGCCAGCGACCTACAAGCAGAGGAGGATCCAAATACAAAGCTGAACACCGGGAGCTGTGCGAACAAAGAAGAGAAAGGGAAATCTCTCCGAGCAGAATCTGGAGCAGCGGATTAAAGCTCCACAATCAACTTGATGTACCCTGCAACTGTGGAATACCAGAATAGACAACGAATCATCCCAAACTGAGGAGGTGGACTTTGGAAGCAACAATATATATATAACAACCCATTTGTTTTAGGGTTCTGTCTGTCCGTTTTCTTTTTGTTTTTTGGGTTTTTTTCTGTATAGTTTTTAGCGTTTGTTACCATTGGTGGATTTGTTTTTTTGGTTTAGTTGCTCTCTTCTTTCTTTTTTTTTTATTACTTTAATTTTTTTTAATAATTATTTTTACTTTAATAACTTTTTAAAAAAATTTATCTTCTTTCTTTCTTTCACTGTTATCTCCCTTTTAACTAAGCCGTGTGGATGAGAGGCTCTTGGTGCTCCAGCCAAGTGTCAGGGCTGTGCCTCTGATGTGGGAGAATAAAATTCAGGACACTGGTCCACAAGAGACCTCCCATCACCATGTAATATCAAATGCCAAAAATCTCCCAGTGATTTCCATCTCAACGCCAAGGCCCAGCTCCACTCAAAGACCAGCAAGCTCCAGTGCTGGACACCGTATGCCAAACAACTAACAAGACAGAAGCACAATGCCACCCATTAGCAGAGAGGCTGCCTAAAATCATAATAAGGCCAAAGACACCCTAAAACACACCACCAGATGTGGACCTGCCCAAAAGAAAGACAAGATCCAGCCTCATCCACCAGAACACAGGCACTACTCCCCACCACCAGGAAGCCTACACAATCCACTGAACCAACCGAAGCCACTGGGGCCAGACATCTGAAAAAGAATTCAGAATAATGATAGTAA